ATTTTCTCCACCTCATAAACAGTTTATAATAGGTGAGGCCTCTGTGGCCCGGGGCGGCCCTGCAGGCTAGGTTCTGGAGAAAACTAGGCACAGGTCCTTCTCTGGACATTCAATTCAAACCGCAGGAGGAGCTGCCAGCGCGGTATGTCCTGCACGCCCCACGTCCTCCAGCCTGCCAGCCTTGGACTATTTTGACTTTCTGGAACACGTTCTGTACCTTTACCCCTCCATGCCTCCACGTGTCTTGGGTTCCCTGGGACCCACGCTCTGAGGCAGGCATGTGCACAGGGCGGTTTCAGGGGTGCCCTGAGGAGACCTACCTGTCCTGGAGTGGGGGAAGCAGGGCTGGGAGAGGGAGGGTCGGTCTTGTGGTGCAGGCACACCAGAGGCTCTGGTTGGTCCCCTGGGGCGCCCTGGAGCCGGGAAGGCCCTTCAGAGCTGGGCCCAACTGAGGCCCTGCACCCACCCATTGATCAGTCCCCTGGGGAGGAGTCAAGCGCAATCCCAGTGAGCCTGTGGACGACTGGGAGGACGCTGAGAGGGAAGGAGGGAAGCAGCGGAGAAGAGCCGGGGGCAAGCTGAGGCTGTCTGAGAGCTACGTCCTGCTTCAGATGCTGTAAGTGCCTTAGCCCCTCATCAGGACGTTATTCCCACAAAGATCGCTGAAAACGCTATCTCCACTGTGTTTGTTATCTCCTCCAAACAACAGTCTCAGCGAATAAGAAGACAGACATATCATAAATGCCAGGCATTTCCTCCCGCCCGAGTTTAAGATTTGAGGACAATGCATTTATGACTGTTGCATCACACGGGCCACCACATATACCTCTGAAAATAGGAAACAGCCTGATGAGAGGGGGCTGGGGGGGTGCTGGCTCGCCTGCATCCTGTCTCCCCCAGGGCCAGGCCTGGCCGGATACTCCACGAGAAGCCCACTTCCGTCCTCACCATCCCCTCCCTCAACAAAACCATCCAGAAGGAAAACACTTCCCCCCCATCTTGGGTGGAGAGAGACCTTTGTCCCGCCTAGATGAGGACAAAAGGGGAAATTACAACATGACTGGACACTTCCAACGCTCCAGTGTTCCTTCCACATGTCCACACAGCCTCCCCAACATGGCTCTGTTCAACATGTTTATATTCGGATTATGGGTGTTTTATGTTCTATCATTTTATTTCATTTTTCTGAAAACCCTACGGGGTACAAACAGATCTGAACTTGCCATGAGTTAAAACCCCTTAACTCCCTTTTTTTTTTTTTAACATATATTGCATTATTTGTTTCAGAGGTACAGATCTGTGATTCACAGTCTTGCACAATTCAGAGCACTCACCATAGCGCATACCCTCCCCAATGTCTATCACCCAGCCACCCCATCCCTCCCACCCCCCACCACTCCAGCAACCCTCAGTTTGTAGACAGCAGGAGGGGAAGAATGAAGGGGGGGAAACTGGAGGGGGAGACGAACCATGAGAGACGATGGACTCTGAGAAACAAACTGAGGGTTCTAGAGGGGAGAGGGCTGGGGGGACAGGTTAGCCTGGTGATGGGTATTAAAGAGGACACATTCTGCGTGGAGCACTGGCTGTTATGCACAAACAATGAATCATGGAACACTACATCAAAAACTAATGATGTGATGTATGGTGATTAACATAACAATAAAAAATTTAAAGAAAAAAAAACCCTTAACTCATCACTATCTGTTATAAACACTTGAATAAAAGAAAGCCTCAAGGGGCGCCTGGGTGGCTCAGTCAGTTGGGCATCTGCCTTAGGCTCAGGTTGTGATTTCAGGGTCCTGGGATCGAGTCCCACATCAGGCTCCTTGCCCAGTGGGGAACCTGCTCCTCCCTCTCCCTCTGCCCCTCCCCACTTCTTGTGCGCTCGCTCTCTCTCTCAAATAAATAAAATCTTAAAAAAAAAAAAGTAAAAGAAAGCCTCATTAAGTTCAGCTGGCCTGGCATATCACTCTGGTTGGACCCTGTGAAATGAGAATCAGAGTAGAGGCCACCTCCAGCCAACTAAAATGCAAAATAAATCTCACTGCTTGGCAGAATGGCATATTTCCGTTCACGTATTTCGCCCCCATTCATCTATGAATTGAATGGTAAATGTATCGTGTAGGCTGGATGGTATCAAGTCCTTTCAATGCATCGAGTATTGTCTTAGGGCTGTAGGAAAGGTGAGGATGTGCAGGAATCATCCCCTGCATTGGAGAAGCTTACAGTAGAGAGATGGGCAGTGGAGAACAAGGGCTGGGCTGCATGAAAGAATTATTCATTTGGAGCCTACGATGGTAGCAAAGTTGTATGGCAAGGAGAATGGCTGGGAGGGTGGCTCTAGACAGAACTTTGTGTTGCCATGAAGTTTGCCATTAAATTTTGTCCCAAAGGCACCATGGAGCCATTGAAACATTTTAAGCAGAGGAGTCCCACGATGCCATGTTGCCAGCAGGCTGTAAGGGGCACACAGAGACTATGCACAAATGGGGGTTGAAGGCAAAGCATTTGGCTTAAAGAGCCATGTACTCCTAGCGATCAGCCCATGCCACACAAAAGAAGCTCGATAACTATTTGTTGAAGAATGAATGAGTGCATGGAGATGTTTCACAATAGCAGAAAAGATGAGATCTCTGGAGATGACAGGAACTGGGACCTCAGGAAGTTTGGGACATATTTAGAATACCCATTGTGGGAATCCAGGGGTTAATAAGCAAATGATGGTTAAAACGATGGCCAGGAGGTTCAACATCATTAGCCATCGGGGAAATGCACATCAACCCCATAACAAGATACCACTTCAAATACACTGGAATGGCTATAATCAAAAAGATGAATAATAACAAGCGTTGGCAAGGATACGGAGAAGCAGGAACCCTCCTGCAGCGCTAGTGGGAATGTAAAATGGCTCAACCATTTTGGAAAATGGTCCGGCAGTTCCTCAAATGGTTAAACATAGACTTAACATGGGACCCAGCATTTCCATTCCTGGCATATACCCAACAGAAATGAAAACATATGGCCACTCACAAATTTGTATACAAATGCTCATAGCAGCATTATTCGTAATAGCCAAAAAGGAGAAACCACCCAAATGTCCATCAACTGATAAACGAATAAACAAAATGTGTTATATTCACAGTGATATTATGACTTATAATAAGAAATATGGGGGGGGCGCCTGGGTGGCTCAGTTGGTTAGGCGACTGCCTTCGGCTCAGGTCATGATCCTGGAGTCCCGGGATCGAGTCCCACATCGGGCTCCCTGCTCAGCGGGGAGTCTGCTTCTCCCTCTGACCCTTCCCCCCCCGCTCTCTCTATCTCATTATCTCTCTCAAATAAATAAAATCTTTAAAAAAAAAAGAAATATAGGGGGGCCTGGGGGGCTCAGTAGGTTGTCCACCTTCAGCTCAGGTCATGATCGCAGGGTCAGGCTCCCTGCTCAGCAGAAAGTCTGCTTCTCCCTCAGCCTGCCGCTCCCCCTGCTTGTGCTCTCTCTCTCTCTGACAAATAAATAAGTAAAATCTTTATAAATAGATTAATTAATTAATTAAAAGGAGAATGTGGGACAAAGGTCAGTGGGTACATGCAGGTGGGCAGTGAAGGTCAGGTCAATCCTTGTCTTGGGGTCAATCACAGGCTGGCTCAGGGCAGTACTTATGGCTTGAGGGGGTACTTTCGGTTCCCCTCACGGGACGCTTTGCCCTCTGGTCTTTTGCTTGAGTTGAGATAAGCTGGAAAGAACTTAATCAATTAGGAAGTACAGACTGAGGTCAAAATGGAGGTAAAGTCCTCTTTCAGACTGAATGCTTAACCTGTGGGATCTGATGTTGTCTCCAGATACACAGTGTCAGAATGGAGTTGAGTTGTGGGACACTCGGCTAGTGTCAGAGCACTGCTTGTTGGTATGGGGGAAATTCTCCCCCTACATCAGAGTTGAGTCCAAAACCCAAGAGACGTACAACGAAATATTGTTTGGCCATAAAAAGGAATGATGTGCTAATCCATGGTACACCATGGGTGAACCTTGAAAATATTATGCTAAGTGAAATAAAACAGTCACGAAAGACCACATATTTCATGGTCCCATTTACATGAAATGTCCAGAATAGGCCGATCTAAAGAGGAAAAAAAGCAGATTAGTGGTGGCCTGGAGCTGGGGGCGGGGTGGGCTTGGGGAAAAAGTGGAGATTGACTGCAAAAGGTATGGGCTTTGTTTTGAGAGTCATGAAAATGTTCTAAAATTGATTGTGGTTATGGTTACAAAACTCTGAATATACTAAAATCCACTGAGTTGTACACTTTAAATGAGTGAATTATATGGCATATGAAATACATTTTAATAAAACCATCACCAAGAAAAGACACACTGGGGCGCCTGGGTGGCTCAGTCGGTTAAGTGTCTACCTTCAGCTCAGGTCATGATCTCAGGGTCCTGGGATCGAGTCCCACATCGGGCTCCCTGCTCAGTGGGGAGTCTGCTTCTCCCTCTCCCACTCCCCCTGCTTGTGTTCCCTCTCTCGCTGTGTCTCTCTCTGTCAAATAAATAAATAAAATCTTTAAAAAAAAAAAGACACACTGACCACATATGTGTGACTAAAAAGTTTACGTACACACACACGCGCATGGTGCGCGCACACACACACAGCTCACACACACTGAGGGCCAGGCTGTGGGCAGGTCCAGTGTGAGAGTATGGTGACTGCTCCAGAGGCAAGCAGTCTGATTCTCCAGGTTTCTCTGAGCAGCCCCAATGGCTGAGGGAAGAAAGCAGGTGGAAAGTCAGTCACAACTAAGGATAGCTAATATTTGCTGAAAGCGTCTAGGATCCAGGGACCATAGAAAGCTTTACCCACATTATCTCATGATATGTACATATACACATAGATAATTATTCATCCCATCCTTCCCTATGAGGTAGGTGCTCTCATAAACCCCAGTGTACAGGTAAGGAAACTGAGTTCCAGAAAGAGGAAGTAACCTGCCTATGGTCTCACAGGCCGTAACAAGGAAGGTGTGGGGATGAAGCCCAGGCAGCCTGCGCCTGAGCACATGCCCTTAACCCTGGTTGTGGCGGCCTTCCCGAAGGGTGAGGTCTGGAGGCGCAGGTGGAGGTCGAGAGGGGGAGGGCAGCGCACTGGGAGGGCCCAGGTGCCTGTGGTCTCCATAAGGGTGAAGAGCTGGTTCTGTGAGCACGACAGGACAGTGGCATGCAGAGCTGAGGCGTAAACTAAGGAACTTGTAGTTACAACTCTGGCTTAGTCCTTGGAGACAGGACAATGTAAAGCTTGCCATGTTCCAAGGCATGGAGTCGGTGAGGCTGAACAGAGAGCATGGGGATCGGTCATGGGGCTTGGGCAGTGACGACAGGCTGCTCCTCATCCCGGATGGTGAAATGACCGAAGTTTTCCAAATCTCGAAATTCGATGCATTTTGGAGGGATGCATATGGCAGGGACATATTATCCCTGGGGGAAACTGTGACTTAGCAGCCAAATGTGGGGACCAAACCCCTGAGAACCAGGACTCGGAGGGAATCTGTTACCTTCACCAGAAGCCCCCGGACTTGCCATCATGAAGGGCAGCTTTCAGGGATGGCCTCTAAGAACAGCGCACTGGGAGAGATTTTGACTCTCTGATCACATCTTATGACTAATTTGTTTTCAACATTTTCATTAACCAGAGAGATTTACAGTTGCCAGTTAGAGCCTCCGACCAACAGAGACCACCAACCTTGCTGGCTGGAGTGCTAGAAGCCGCGGGCCAGGAACCACGGATCTCATCAGCTGAGGTGGCAATACTTGGGAAGCTGTAGAATTTTTTTTCTGTCAAGCTTTCCAGAGTAGTAGAATGGCCTGCAGTTCCCCCTGAGAACATCTGCAGGCCCCTGCGGGGGCACAGGCCTATGTCAGCAACCTTGACCTTGCCTTGTCTCCTATGGTTCGGGCTGGCTTGTGACAGGCATGTGGAGGGCTGGGGCAGCTGTGGATTGGGCCAGGGCCCGGGACTCTGGAGGACAAGGTGCTGCTTAATTAATACTGAATGAAGCCTAAGGCATCGAGGTTGCATAAATACCTCTTCCCAACTTTTTAGGATAATGCCAAGTCTGTGTGATTTTGTGCCTCTCAGTAAAGGTCTAGAGTCTAAATTGTGATGTCCAAAATACAAAGCAAGCCAGTTTTGTAATTTTTAATTTTTCCAAGAGCCACATTTCAAAAAAGCAAAACAGATAAAATTAATGTTAATAATGTCTTTTAAGTCAATATATCTAAAATATCATTTCAACATTAATAGTAATATTACTATTTATAATAGTAAAATAGTAATGAGATATTGGATACACCAGGGGTACTAGGTGCTAAAAATCCGGTGTATGTTTTACAATCTCAGCACTTTTCAATTTAGACTAGCTACACTCCAAGGGCTCAACAGTCCCACGGGGCCACGGCTACCCGGCACCGGGATGCCTTCCTCGGACCCTGGACGGTGCTGCCCCTGCCCCTGCTGCGGAAGTCCTGCTTGTGCCAACCCCAGGAAAGCCCTCCTCTGAAGGTGCCCTCAAGGATCGGCCAGGCCAGCTCCTCCGCCAGGGCAGGGCTGCCTGCTGATGCAGCCTGGGGTCAGCAGGGACAGACAGGCACCAGCAGGCCCCTCGGGACAAGTTTTCCTCGTCACGTGTGGGAATCCCGGGGGCTTCGGACATTTGCCACCAAAGGAGCCTACCAGCCTCAATACCCGTAGAGGCCCCAGGACACATTGCTGTCTGGCTGGAGCCAAAGGCTCCGGGACTCACAGCCAGCACTCTGGCTCCTATTCTAAGAGGTCACTCCAGATGCTCCCCACAGCCCCTCAGCGTTCCTGGGGATTTTGTAAGCTCGAATCCCAAGCCCATCCCAGGAGAAGGGCAAAGAAGGAGCTTGAGCCCGCTCGGAGGGTCTGTGGGACACGCTGGACTCGTGCTCTGCTATCTCCTCGGTGCTGCCACGAAGGACTCGAGGCCTCTGTAGGCCTGTGTCCTGTCCACCCGGAGCCTTGTGTCTCCTGCAAGCCTCACGCTGCCCTCCAAGTCTCCCCGGATCCCCGGCTGGTGTCAGATGCTCCTTGCTCTGCATTCCCATGCCCCTCACAGGTCCGAGCTTAGCTCTTCGCTTCCTTCTGCCTTGCTCTAGTCGGGAAGCTGACCGCATGCCCAACACACTTACTTGGTTGTGAGCTCTTTGATGACAAGGAGAGCATTCATCTTTTACTCACATCTTCTCAGATTTCTCCCCTCCCACGTCCCTCCCTCCCTGTGCCCATGAATAGTAGGTGCTCCGTACATGTTCACCGAGGGCAGGAAGGACAGGACCAAGAAAGGGAAGGACAGTGGACAAGAAGCAGCATCTGTACGCCAATCATTTCAAGTACAAGATAAGATCTCATCACATTAAATTCTGGACCAGACTTGGCTCCAGCAGGAACTTCCCAGCCAAGGGGAGGTCAAAATGACATCTTTTTCTAGGAAGCCACAGGTATTTGGGCAGTGAGGCCCATCCTTCAGACCCCGCGTTTCCTAGGGGATCATGCAATTCCAATTCGTTTCTGCACATGCATCTTACTGCGATGCTCACGTCTGTAGGCAAACAGCCTTAAATGAGGGATGCAGACTTCAAGAGTTGAAACCAATACCTTCAGAGATGGAGAAACTGGATCTAATGCCAAGCCGATGTTTCGTGAGAGCCTACTTATTCCAGGTGGGCCTCTGGCCCCCAGGACGACAGCAGTCAAGCGACATAAGCACAGACCATACGCTTGGATAATCTGAAGACTGTTGGGTGAATTGCACGAACCAAACTCAAAAGATGATCAGAGTCTTAGGGCAAATAATTATTAACATTTATTTTGAGAGGCAAAATTGAGATAATAGAGGTTTGACTTTAGAGCGAATCGGGTTCAAATACTGATTCTGCAACGACTAGCTATTGACTTTATTGAAAAGAAATAAAGTTTCACATATTTATGATTTTGAAAGTGCAAAAGTTCTCCCAGTTTTATATAGAAATGAGCATTCTCCTGCTCCATACCCTTATTTCCACTCTCTAGACACAACCACTTTGAACTCTTTTAGCTATTTCTTCCATGGTATTCTCTATATATTCAAATGATTCATTTATATGGCTATACCTAGATTTTATTTAGATTTTAGATCTTATCAACTTTCCACACGGAAGCTGAGGTTTTGCTCCCTTAAATCTCCCTATCCACCTCCAACTCCTCCATTCTCCAAATAGAAGTATCTCATAATTTTGGTTAAATCAATCTTCAGTGCTTACACCCCACTGCCGTGTGATTATTAGGCCATGAAGTGCACTATATAGTAATATTTTCTTTCTTACATTTTTTCTTTTTCCTGGAGTTAACAATTATTGTGTTCTTTTTTCCATTTACTTAGCTACTATGTACTTATTACTAACTCATTGCTAACTTTCCTGCAGAAGTAGCAATCTCTCAGTACAACAAAACGCACTGGGTCCTTTGGCATCTTTTCCTGGAGACGGACCCAACCCCACATTCTGGCAGAGCTCTCCAGACTGGCCAGCTCCACAGCACCCCCGGGGGCATCCCTTTCCATCCTGGGGATTCTCAGAATGTAGCTCCTGGGATGGATCACGCCTGCTTTTCTTCCATCTTCCTCTTTCTTGGAGAATGCCTTCATTTTGGAGGAATACACCTAAAGATAACCAGGAACTGAAGGTTTCAGGACTTGCAGTTTTGACATTTGACATTCATTGACATTGAATGTCAAATGTCAAATTCTGTACACACCCAAATCATCAATCAAGGCATTGATTGATGATTTGGGTGTGTACAGAATTCTGGTATAGAGAAATCATTCTCTCTCAGAATTCTGAAGCCTTGCTCCATGGTTTTCTAGCATTTAGTGTGGCTTTTTTGGAAAAGTCTCATGCCATGCTGACTCCTGATAGACACTTCTCTCTCCCAGAAGCTCTCAGGGTCTCCTCTTGGCCCCTAATGGTCTGAAATGTCACGATTACATTCTTTGTTGTGGACCTATTTTCATGCACTGCACTTGGCACTCTGTTGACCTTCTCCAACTGTACATCCATGTCCTTCAGATATGGGGACATTTCTTGAATTGTGTCTTTGATACTTTTCTTCCTTCCATGTTCTCTGTTCCACCTCTATGGAACTCCCTATTATTTGGATGTTAGACCACCTGGACAGATCCCATAATTTTATTATGTTTTCTCTCCTATTTTCCATCTCATTTATGTTACTGTTCTACTTTCTGAATGATTTCCTTTCGTTTTCTGTTTTATTTAATTTTTCCTTCTACTCTCAAACTTCGAAGTTCCAAAGGCTATTTCTGCTGTTCTGACAGCTTCCTGTGCTTGACTGTACATCCCCAGGGGATTGATCACAAGACCTTGCCGTTGCCATGATGGTTGTTCCTTCTGCCGCCTAGGCTGCCTGTTAATTCCCATGTTCCTCTTAGTTCTTTCTTTGCTTTTGACTCTTTGATATTAGTGATTTCTCTCAATGCCTGAGGACTCATTTTTGAGAGTGGAGTACTGAGTAGCAGATGGCAGCCCTGTGTGTGAGGACAGGATCCACGCACTGTGGGCTTTGCCAGAGTATGTGATTGGCCACTTTCCCCGGGGTACATCCAAGTTCTACGCCCTGAGCCCTCCATCTTTCCCAGGAAGGAATCCGCCAGGCTCCCCTCTGGCAGATAGCAAGCTGGCTGCCGGTGCTCCTGGAGCTGGGTAGCAGAGTGGCAGTGGTCTCACTGGTAAGAGTACCAGCTACCAGCATCCAATGCCCCGTCCTCAGCCGTGCTACTGCCCAAAGCCCGCAGCTTCAGGGAACCAATGTCTAGTCTTCTGCGAGGATGGGGGACAGGATCTAGGAGGGCTGTATCATGTACAAATGCTATTTGTAGCCCCACCCACATCCCATTTTCAGAGGATACGGCTTCAAGCTGCCCTCACTCTCTATCCACATTCTGCCCTAGGTTCCCCCATTCTCTAGTCTATTAAACTGACACTTGTCCATCTCTTTTCAGTTTCCCAGATTTTATTGCTGTTGTTTACTGTCCTCTTCTATTTTACTAGTGTTGTTTTATGGTCTTAAAAGAGCTGAGTGCTATTTTAGTCGGGTTTCAAGAGGGAGCAATGATAAGCGAG